TCTCTTTAAAAAAACCAAGAGAATAAATAGATCTCCATGAAAATTCAGTAAAGTGACAAACTAGATTCAAAGCATCAACGGTCAGAGTCTACTATTTCTATAATTAATTTTGTCTCCCTCTCTAGCTCTCTATTTTATTTTATTTTATTTTTATTATAAGCTTTTTATAGGGTTCAACGGTGATACTAATGTTACCGAGTGCGTACTCCACATGTCCCATCTTGGTGTTTGCTTTGTCTAAATGTCTGTTGATTTCGAATAAATTCAATTATAGTAAAATAACCCACATTAATTAATTGTATATGCGTCACATGTATTTTAATTTTAAATATATATAAAATAGATGGTGGATAAAGTGTTTATTAGGACTAGTAAAAAATACAAGTTACATGAAAAGATACATATTAATATAAGAAAAATACAATATATGAACTGATATTACTTGATAATAGTTAAACAACAATCGATCTCATCACAAGATGTATATTAACATAGCGCACATTAATCAAATCAACTGCAACACATTACAACAATATGCACAATACATGTGGATTTGATTTAAATCATACACTGAGAAGCAGTTGTTCGGATGCCTATTAGGGCTAATCGACGCCGTATTTGTACCTACTAAATATATATGTTTATGCACAACATATTGCCAAATAGGAGCTATGTGCATTTTTTTCACTAATAAAATGAAGGTGAGTTGTGAATTAAATCTTACTTATATTAAAAACTGATACACATCGAATTATTACATAGTTGCGCATACTTTAAACTAGACTTTTGCTTAATAGTTTTGCCCAGAAAGATCATGAGAGTGTAGGTATATCTTCTTTCTGCGTCTCATTTAATTTGTTTAGCCGTGACGATTTTCCATGAATTCCATACACTTCTATAGGATTATTTATCTGTGTTGAAATAACTACATGTACTAAACACGACCCTATATATTTGTAAGTATGCAAGACTCCGGTATATTTTCAGTATATATACAAAAACAATCTCGATATTTTAGTATTTGGTATATCGGTATAATACAAATAATTCTATATATTGATATCAAAATTATTATTTTAAATTTTACTACTCCCTCCTTCCCGCAAGAAAGTTGTCATTGATTTTTTGCGCGTTGATCTTTGATTCTTATACAAATATAAGGATATTTTTAATGCTAAGTACAATAACGCAAAAAGGTAAATGTGACCCTTAGAGGCAGACGGAGAGAGTGTATTAAATATATATATATATATAATATTCATTGCAGTATACTTGTATGTGGAATCCTCCACCTATCATTGTTTAATTATCTCCAAGAAAATTGATAACATCGTCAATTTTGTTGCTTGTACTCGCATTGAACCTCAACCAACTTGATGGTATAATTTATCATCAAATTTGTCTTATTATTTTACAAAATTTGAAGAAAACAAACCTGATAATTATATATATAATAGAACACACACGCTACATTGTTAATTTTAGTGTGAGAAGAATTTAGAGACTGAAAGGACACTGTGTTGAGCTATATTATAATGAGTTAAGATGTGTGAAGTATACATTTATATATATATATATATATATATAAAAGTCGAAACAATATCAAAATCCGAATTATGGACTGGTCGGCTGCACCCCCTCGCTGGTACTAGGCAGGGGCGTAACTAGGTGGGGGCCATGCCCCCCCCCCCCCACCCCATTCCTTATTTTTTATTATAATTTATATAATTTTTAAATTGTACTTTAAGAAAAATAAGTAAGTTTTTACTTTTTTTTGGTAAAGAAATATAATATTTTTTTACTAAGAAAATGAAACAGAAATAAATTTGGATGATAACAAAAAAAAAAAAAAAAAGGAATGTGAAAATAAATTTGAATGACGGAGGGAGTATATAGTAAAAAAAATATTAAAATTTTGGTGTAAAAACTATTTGTTTGTACTAAAAATTTTACATATCAAAATTTTTAATATGATCTAATACTCTCTCCGTCCCACAAGAAGAGTTCTATTTTTCATTTTCGTCCGTCCCAAAATAAGGGTACCATTTTCTAATTTAGTAGTTGTATTACCTAACATTATAAATACCCTTCTAATATACAATATATTACACAAATGCCACCACCTTTATATTACACAATACTAATATGAATATTTTCGTTTTTTTTTACTACATCCCAATATAATACTAATATTTAAAAATCTACGTGCAAAAAAACAAACATTATTCTTTATATGGGACGGAGGGAACATCATATTCAATTTTTTTAGTACGGTATATTTTTAGTATATACTAAAACAATATCGATATTTTAGTATTTGGTATATCGGTATAATACAAATAATTTTATATATTGATATCAAAATTATTATTTTAGATTTTACTATTTTAATTAATATGAAATGGTGTATATGGATACTATACTAAAATTCCAGTACGATATAAGTACACATATGTATCATATTGATTTTTCGATTTATTGAATTTTTTTTGTAAAAAAATAATCCCCCCTTTATTCGAGTTTTAGTTCCGCCGCTGGTACTAAGGGCAACCTCCACAGTCGTATGTTCTATATTAATGTTCTTGCCTTCTTAGTCATTTGCCAAATACAACAACAAATTAACTCAGTTTTAGATTCAATTTTCACATCAGAGTTCTTGAGTTGAATTATTCTAAAATTAAATTTTTGTTATTTTTACTTTTGGAAAGTGTTTATTAAACGATCTATTAATCAATCCATTTGTTCTATTTGATTTTCTATCCATATTTCTCTCAATTTCTCGACAAAATGCAATGTATGGGATAGCTTGTGGAATTTTTTGTCGCGTTAGATCATTAGAATTAAAGTATACTCCCTCGTTCAAGGATATTTCCGCACTTTTGGTTAGGCACGAAGAGTAACAAATAACAATATTTTAATATAAGAGTATGAAGGGTGTCTTGTCTGGGGTTTGAATTTTGAGTTGGGATTTGAACAGTAAAAATTTTGAATTTGAATAGTTGTATGATGCGATATAAATAGGTGTTGATGAGATGTTTTGAATGTAAAATTAATTTTTAGTATAATATAAAAAATAAAAAATAGGTGTTTGATTTGATATTTTTGGAGAAAAAAATGGGATGAACAGTGGATTTAAAATCCAATCGCCCAAACAAACTAAAATGTAATATAAGTAAAATTAATTATCATTAGAAATTTATTAAAAAGCTCATAAATACATAATGGGTAGATTGAAAAGATAGTCAGGATTAGCTTATTATTCATTAAAATATTAATAAAAGAAATTATTAGTGCATAATTTTGTTTTTTTTCTTTTGTATAAATAAATTATAAATCATTTTGTACAACAACCAAAAAGAGAAACTGCAATAATGAACATGGAGGGAGGGAGGGAATATATATATATATATCAAGAATATCTCATAGTTAGCCATATATCTTGCAAAAAGTAAACACGGTCTAAAAATTTGATTCAGAGCACGACATGAAAAATAATTACTTGAGCTTAAAAAATAGGACCAAAATATTTTTGGGCCAGGCTAGCCCGACACAGTTAAAAATCCAGGCCGTGTCCGGACCTGTGCAAATTGTATCATGCTTGGCCCGGTGCAATTTATTAAACAAATTTTAATTTTAAATATATTTTAAACACTACTATAAAAATCACTAATTATCACGAAGAATTTGTGGCAATTGAATATATTGTCATCACATAATATATGAATTAGGAGATATAATAAATAATAATTATATTGTCGTGGATTTCTGCAAGAAATAATTGTACTATTAAGTATTTCTAGAATAAATAATTATACCATAAAACAATTTTATTATTTTTTTTGTCGCAAAAATTTGCAACTATAAGTATTTTAGAATTTTTTGCGGATTATTAAAATAAAATAATCAAAAAATTATAACCCAAATTTGCAATAATTTTTTTAAAAATCTTTGTGGCAAATTTATGCAATAGTTAGTTGAATTTAAATAATAAAGAAATTATCATGATTTGTGCAGATGTTTGTGAGAATTTAATGAAATTAATCTTCAAATAAATTATTGCAAAAAATTGTTACAAGTTAACATCAAAAGAAATAGTTATATTTCGCGATAATTCTACAACAATTTATTAAAATTGTCGACGAAATAGGTACATTTCACCCGCGGAAGTATGGTGTTTTTGTGATAGTTAAATATATAATAAAAATGATTTATTTATTTAGTGTTTTGATTTGAATAAGTTTTTTATATAATGAATAGAGAATAATGTCGGTAATATAAAAATAATATTTTATATTGAATGTTAATTTTGTGACAGAATAATATATATATATATATATATAGAATTGTGTTAGAAAAAAAAAAATCTTGAACTAATCTTTAAAGTTTTACTTATCCATAAAAATATTACTTTTATAATAATTTTATTTATTTAAATTAATCCAATTTTTTTAATAAACATATTATTAAAAATATATCAAAAACTTCAAACCGGGACGGCCGGAAATTGCCACCTCTAGTTAGCCTTAGCCATCCAAATAAACAAGAATCGATGGCTTTAACTTATCCCCAAAATTGCTTGGAGGTGATTATTTTATCAGTTTCTAGGATGAGATTCTATTTTAATTAATTAATTAATTAAGAATCTCTTATTGCCTTTATAATAATTTAATCACACGAATAAGCCAATGGAGCTGGTCTGCAGTGAAGACGTGAGAACATTTCTGAGATACCAATGAAAAGCAGATGACAACAATTACAAAAATCTAATCTGAAATAATCCTTATCTAATCCAATCTGAACGAAATCCAACTTCTCTGCAACAACACAATTTTTACAATGTCATTACAATGTCCGCCCGCACATTTGTCTCATTACAGCTCTTCAAATCCTAAGTGCACTTGTATAAAAAGATTTCACTTTAGGCCTATGATCTAACTTGCTTTGTTTTTCCATCTCCTCAGTCTTTCCCAATAAAATTCTAATCGAAAATCCGCCTGCGAATGGAGCATCCTACGGCCAAGAAAACAACGATGAACACGAATGGATTTAGCGCGAGCCCGGGTCATGGGACAGGCGACACTTCTATCTCCAGACATCGTAAGAAGGCAGCATCGGTCAAGTCTCAAGGCTTCTGCAGGCGGTTCAGCGACTGCATTGTAATGGGCCCGGCGCAACCCCAGAACATGAACATGGATAGAAGTGCAATAAAGCTTAGTAAACTTGCACGACAGGTATGAGCATAATGGAAACACACTTGATATTAGAGGTGGCAATTCTGAGTCGGTTCGGTTTTTTGTTCCGGCCCGTCCCGGCCTGGTTTTAAATTGGGCCTCGGATCCGAGGCCCTGACACGGCCTGGTTCAAACCATGCCCGGCCGGGCTAGTCCAATTTTTAAAAAAAATTTACTTTGAGATTTGTTTTGCATAATTTTTTTTTTCTTAAAAATAAGTTGTATTAGTGTAAATATATACAATTATGATAATAATATTATTTTTATTAATAATTAAAAATTTAAACATTAAATATATAATTATTGTGTTCTTTTTGTGTTTTTTTTATACATTCTCAATTAAATTAATACATTACATTATTCATTATTTTTATATTAATTATTCTTATACTTCACATATAAAAATATTCAATCAAAACTATTTCACAAACAAACTTACTATTTTAATATATATTTATAACATATTTAAAGAAATATTTAAATTTAAAATTAATTCAATAAATTGTGCCGATTTTTAACTGTATGAGATTGGCCCGGCCTAAAAGCTATTTGAGCCTAATTTTGATGCTCAAGTACTTATTTTTCGTACTGTGCTTATTTTTTCTGGCTATCTTAGATAGTGTAGTAATGATTCTTTATGGAAATCATGAATTTTGTGCTTGTGTTTCATTATAAGGTTGAGGAAATCGACAAAGAACTTAATAAGGAGAAAGAGATGAATGGGATGTACAAAATGAAGCTCGAAAAGACTCAAGTTTTACTAAAATACTGCCTTCAAGTTGCACAAGACCACGGTTTCTTGGACGCCATTGTTAGCAAGGACAAGGAACAACATTTGCCCCTTTCTCCCGCGATCGCGTATTCAAGCATAGGTTCAAGTAGCCCTTGTCCGAGTCAATGCCATCCGGATCTTGTTTCCGTCATGCGTCAAGCTAAAACTGGTGGATGGTACATCGAACCCGACGAGGTTAGCTTGATGATATTGTCTACATTTTCTTCATTATGTAAGGTCATTAGTGAAATATTATATGAAGATTTGAATTGTCGATATTCATAGTGATATCTCAAACCAATTTTCTTACCATGCAACCCATCGTTCCCAATAAAAATATATTATTTTCTCTGATAAAACATTACACTAAAATACTACTTAGACTCAAATTTTAAAAAATAAATAAAACTCCAACACAAACCAAACAATTTACCCAAAGTTTTAGGACGACTTTACTTGTGTTTTGAAATGTCTTTGATATTTGGGACCGTGTTTATTTGTGTTTTGGAATGCCTTTGATATTTGGAGGCGTTTTATATAATAATAATTTTTTAATTTTGGCGCTATTCAATTTTCAAATATATTGTTCTCTCACAAAATATTATATCAATTAGTAATATGTTATTATTAAAAAAAATCCAAAACCCCCCAAAATTTTGACTAAACAACTTTGAACTTTGGGGTGGAAGCGATTGGATGTGGACACTTTTATCGTTATTATTATTTTTTAAAATGAAGTCTTGGTGTTGAAAATAATTTTTTTTTGTGAACAGAAAAATCTTGTTCAAATAATTTTCTGAACACTCTTAACTACAATAAATTTGACATATTTATGCTTTGTTTACACAGCAAAATTTTAAATTTTGGCACTATTCTTTTTCTAAAATTATAGCATCAAATATATATTTTTTTTTTCATACAAAATATTACATCAAATACTAACATTTCACTATTTTCAAAATTCCAAATTCTCTCATCTAAATAAAACTTGAAAAGTTTGTTTTGTACAATTGGTTATTAGAACCAAAAGATCGATTGTTAAAAAGACAACACTGCACTAATCTTTTGGTAGCCCCAAAATCAGAATTGCCATTCCTTCAAAGGACATGGAAGGGACATCAAACCATCAATTAATTTCATTCTTTAGCAGCCTAAAGATGGCATTTTAGACTTCATTTAATAAAATTGTATCATAGTAATATATTTCCTTTACACAAACTTAATCAAAAAATAAATGCAGATCGAAATGCTTCACCTATGGGATCAAGGAAGCACAGCAGACATATACAAGGGGAAATGGCGAGGCGTCGATGTAGCCGTCAAGTGCATGTACTCTGACTTTCTTCGATCCAACGAGAATGGAATGAGCTTCTTTGCTCAAGAAGTCGAGACCCTGTCGAGGCAGCGCCACCCATTTGTTTTGCAACTTATGGGGACCTGCCTTGCGCCTCCTCATAATTGCTGGATTGTCACTGAATTTCTAAACACAAACCTTAAAGAGTGGCTGCACGGCCCGGGACCAAGGATGAAGGATAGAACGATACCACTCCCACCATTGAATGATAGGACAGAAAAGGCATTGGAGATTGCTCAAGCAATGCAGTATCTTCACGAAAGCAAACCCCGGATTCTTCATCGCGATCTCAAGCCTAGCAACATTTTCTTGGACGATGCCTTGCATGTACGAGTGGCTGATTTTGGTCATGCTCGATACTTATATGACGAAGAAAAGGCACTAACCGGAGAAACAGGTAGGCCAACTTAGTTAATGTGATTACTTGATGGATAACCATGTTAAATGAATATTTCAAGCATTTATAGGATTCAATTATTAAATGAAGTTTTCATTGATATATTAGGCTTTGTTTACAAAACACATTTTCACTCATTTGGCACTATTCATTTTTAAAAAAACATCACATTAAATACATTTTTTCTCTCACAAAACATCAAGTCAAGTACTAACTTTTTATTTTTTCAAACTTCCAAATTTTCAAAAACCTCCGAAAACCTCTATCTAAACAAAGCCTATTATTTGCAAGCTTTAATGAATCATTAGATTTGATCTAAGTCTTCATAATTAAAGTCTATCAAGTTTAACTATTCAAATTAAACTGTGTTTTATGTATAGGATATCTACCTGATTACTAACCTCCTAGATTTTTACTTTTTTTTTTTTTTGAAAAGGTACATTTGTGTATATGGCACCTGAGGTGATTCGTTGCTGTCCATACGATGAAAAGTGCGACGTCTATAGCTTTGGCGTAATATTGAATGAACTCTTGACAGGCGAATACCCTTATATCGACTCAGAATATGGTCCTTCAAAGGTTAGAATACTTACTAAGATCTTATGCTTACATAATCCAGTGAAGAAGTCCAAAGAAGCCATCATTTACCTTTTTTTTCTTGGGCATGGATCTACAGATAGCCATGGAAGTTGCGGAGAATGGGTTTAGACCAACAATCATCGCTAACCAGGACGAGGCAATAATCGAACTCATAAAGCAATCATGGGATCAAGAGCCTGAAGCCAGGCCAAACTTTGCAGAAATCACTTCTGCTTTGAGAATTATACAGAAGAGGTTAACAGGGAGCCCTGCACACTAGAATACTTTGAGATTGTTGTTGAAAAAATGAACTTGATTTATTCTTGGGATTTGGGAATAAATTTTACTATTAGCCCATTTTTCTTCCAAATGAGAATTGGTGATTCGTTTTATTTTCCAAGTATTGATGTGTTAAAACAATTTTCAAACATGATTCATGTTTAGAACTTTGTTAATTACTTTTGTGTGTTTTAATGTATTTAAGTTGTGTGGTAGGAGATTTTTTTTTTCTCGATGTAAAAATGTAAGGCATTTTAAGTGAGTCAAAATCATGAGTTTCATTTTACTGTTGCTTTTCTTCCTTCTAACGAACTTGTGTTCATAGCTCGTTTATGTAACTAATTAGTTGAATTAAGACAAAAATGCACACAACCTAGTTCAGAAAATCTACGTCTCGAGACGATCAAGTTAGATATTGTCATTAGTATGTTTTAGTCTTAAGTTTAGAGAGTGTACATTTTGCAGCTACCTCTGTTATTTTAATGTATTTGCATTTTGTTGTCGACAAAACAACTAAATTTTGCAGCTTTGAAGTCCATGAGATTGTTGTCTTTCATAAGTAAACACACATCCATATGTGTTCTTCATTATATTTTAATCGTTTCTTGATAAATCGACATCCATAAATCCAACTAACAAAGCCTTCCTTTGCTTAAGGATCAATGCCTTCTTAAGATGTGGTCCTTCTTATGAAAATGCTATGTTTAAAAAAAAAAAAAAAGAAAAGAAAGTTGCCAAAAGAATTATAAGCCACCAAATAAAAATATTTTCCTCTTAGGGAGCAAAAGTTCTAGGGAGACTTAATTCACAGTTAGCTTAGCTCAATAAAGTTCTAATAGTTTAAGGATCACTCATATTTTACTTAAGATTCACTCTTATTCACACTAGGCGAACCATATGTGGCAGGTGATACGAGGCGTCGGGGGTTTGAACCCATGACCTTACGGTCACACGTCCAACCCCCATACCAACAAGCCATCCCTTACGGGACTTAAATTATGCTTTCTTTTAATTCTACTTTACCTTGCACACCACCGGCAAAGACTCACTGTGAGTATTACATTTAATTTATTTCTCGACTTGAAACTCCCTGAATTTGACCTGAAACTGATCAGTAAAAAGAATATAAATCTATCTTTAATATCACTTAAAGCAACTAAGAGTTCAAATTTATTTTATTCTATATTTGCCACCATTTATTGGCTATAAGCGCAAGTTTATCTCTTTATATTTCCGACAACTCCCTTCCACATCAAAGGGGAAATCTTCTCTCTTATTTAATTGTTCATATACATTCTATCAATCTTCTAGTCTGCTAATCTATTGTATTTTATTTTTTTTTTACTCTATTTTCATAACAATTGGATCTTTGGGAGTTTAATTAAATTCTAATATTATCAGGGTAGGATTAGTCATAGACATGACTAGCAGGGTAGTGCAATGCTTAAATTTCCTTTTCTTTATACTTCAATTTCACCAATTTTCTTATTTGTTTCTTGCATATTTGAAATAAACAATATTGTACAAATAAAATAGAATTCGACCAAATAAACTATATATCACTTTTAATGTAAACATATATCAGGTGGTGATTTCTATCTATCATTTACCTCCAAGATTACAAACATCAACTGGACTCAGTGAAATTCATGTGTAGTAAATCTGGACAGCAGTTGTTACCTCATTGTTCTAACAACGAGTGAACAATTCTTCTATGCTTTTCTCTTGTACAATCACCACAAGTAGAACTTGCATTTTAAAAAATTTAGGTAGACCTCTGACTGTACCGATCTTACTGATCCTCGTAGACTCTAGGAATTGACATGAACTAGCCTAGTATGCCATGGCATCGGTTCATCATCCTTAAGATCAATCAATGCTTGCAATTTCGGATTCTCCAAAAATTAACAATTTTTTCTCCATCGAGTCCTAGTCATCAAACATTTTTGTTCAGCATTGTACACCTCACAAGAAGTTCACTTTCCGGACACAAAGTCACTTGGAAGATTGCTTTCTTGGGCCATTGATCGCTTGAATCCGCGTAAGTGAAACTCCCTTGAATTATATAGCTCTTTCGTGTGAATTTTTATCTTGGCATCTTCGATCATCTCAAGTGATAATGTTGTTATAATGGGCCTTAATTTAGATATTGTGATCATTTTTACATAAACACAGATAGAAGCCATATTTGATGAAGAGACTATATGCTAAATATTCAGATTATTACACTCAACATGGTGTGTTCGAACAGTGGCATGCTTAATTCAACACGTCCATATTTTGTATCTATATATATTTCACTATTTTAATTCGAAATGGGCATATTTAATTCATCATGACATAGAATTTAAATTCTCATTGTAAAATTATTTTATATGTAGTACTATGTAATCACACAAACAAAAAAATTATTCTCGACATATTTTTTCTTTATAAAAACAATAGTCCAACTAATTATTATTTTAAAGTAAAATATTGTAATACCTCGAAGTTGGGCCGATGTTAGACCAACTTCTATGTATGGATGATCATTTGCTAGGCATCTAAGAGTGAATAAAGAATATATTGATTTATTAGACTGCTCATATAAATAATCTACATTTTTTTATTTTTTTTCCGAAAACACATTTGAAAAAACTTTAAACTGGTTATCTTCTAACAAGTCTATCGGGATGCAAAAAACACACGTGGAAAGATTTCTGTTGATCTGTAAAATCAATCTACGATCTCAAAACACTGGATTTGTGTGGCTTGCGGGGCTGGAATGTTATAAATATATGATAATAAATCAAAATTTTCAACCAAATATACAAATTCATAATTAAAATATTTTAAACCACAAAATATATAGAAAAACAATAATAATAATAACAAGTATTACGTTTTGTATTTTTAAAAATTACGAAATAAAATGTCAAGGTAAATATAATTTTAAAAACTACCATTAATAATCGTATTTTTTTAATGTTATTATCATCATTCTATATCATTTTTAAAATCATAATTACATCTTGTAATTTCTTCAAAATATCTAAAAATGATAACTTATACATAATAAATATAACTTTTTTCTGAAAAATTATAGGGAAATTTTTAAAGAAAACTTTAACTTATAGTTATGATTCGATGTGTGTTGTTTTGAGTATTAAGTTCGGCCGAGAGTTTACCGAGTGCGCATTTTCGGGTAGCGGCTGCGGTTCTCACGTCATATATAAAAATAAAAAAAATAAAAAAAAAAAGAAAAAAGAAAAAAAAAAAGAGTATTAATATATAACCAATTACATTAATGATATGGGCCACTATATAAATGTCTAGAAGTATATTTCAACTAACACGTTTGTGTTGGATGAACCTATATTTCGTTCCATTTCCCTTTCACTTCATAAATACTCATTAAGGAATTTTTTTTCTATTTTTACATGGTTATCTTAAAATTCATATTTGATGACACTATAAGAAAATATTATTTTTGTAACGAGATTTTTTCGTCTTTAAATTCATTTTTTCCGTTACTAATGATATTAGAGAGACGGAATTAATAATAGAATTATGTTAGCTACGTGATCTTTAGGGATGGAATTTCATTACAAATATTTTTTTTTTGTAGTGTGAAGTAAACATAAATTACGATGAGAGAAGTAATAATGAGAATTTTTATTCTAAATCTATATATATATATATATAATTAAGCTATAGACTAAGATGGTAAATTATATAAAATTTTCGTATTTTAGTAAAAATGTATAAAATAAATACTCCCTCAGTCCCTTAACTATCTATTCAATTTTTTATTTTTTTTTGGTCTATCCTGTAAGTAAGTATTCATTTCTTTTTCTTTTTTTACGGTAACTATACTGTCTACCTAACATTATAAACACCCTTCCAATTTACAATATATTACACAAATGTCATGATCTTTGTATTATACAATACTAACCAGGTTAGTTTAGTCTTTTAACCTTTATTTCTACTACATTTCAATATAATACTAATATTTTTAAAACTCCATACAAAAAACGATCGGATAGATAGATATAAGATGGGGAGAGTATTGTTTAATTTATTGCATGAAACATCTTGTCTTAAATTAAAATATATATAAAAGATTTTATTCATTCAAATATGAAACTACCTTTGTCCGCCACTAAGGGTCACATTTACTTTTTCTATCATTGTATTTAACATTAAAAATATCTTTATATTTGTATATAAGACACTAACTTAAGTATTTTTGCAGTTTTTTCTTAATATTTTGATATAATAATTAGTATTCAAATATCAACATCCAAAAAATAAATAAGATCCTTAGAGCCAAACGAATATAATATTTTATTATAAATGCACACCTAATTATGCAAATTTTGTACAAATCAAAAAATAAAATATCTTAAATAGTGTTTTTTTTTAATCAAATAAATAATTAAATAATTTATCAGTTACTTATTTAATATTTATTTTTAGATGAATTATTATTTTATTTATTTATTTATTATTTTATTCCAATAAAGTTATTTATGATATTTTACATCTTTTATATGTATACAAATTATATAATTATATGCATATTTACGATTAACATTTAAAAAAAATAGTATATTTGTAAGGGAATTTCGTTCCTAAAGATCACGTAGCTAACATAATTCCATTATTAATTTCGTCTCTAATATCATTAATAACGAAAAAAGTAAATTTAAAGACAAAAAAATCTCGTTACAAAAATGATATTTTTTCTTATAATGTAAACATCAGCTTTAAATAAAAATAATATTTTGTGCATATTATAATTTAATACAATTAATTTTTTTGCAATAAAAATATATATATTGTAAAACACAATAAAATATTATATAATTTACACTTTAATGTATGCAAAAAGTTATTTTGTAACTCTACCTTTATTCTAAAAATAATGACTCAATGATATCGCTTCGGTTAGCTTGCTGATTATATCAAATATATAATATATTTAATAATATATTATATAATTACATATAGCTAAATATATCTTGATTTCAACAAACTATAGTATAATTTCAGTATAATAGTAATTTGATTTAATTAACAAATGTCTATATATATAAAGAAAGTAGCAAATCGTAATATAATATATAACACAACATATATATATATTTTGTGACGATTTGCTAACTGTTTCAAATTAATATGCAAATTTGGTAATACGATATTTGTCGTGTAATGATTATTTAATTATTTCATATTAGTTTACTTATTTGGTCAAAACAACACAGTGCCGATTTCTTTGACCGCCGCCTAACGATATACTCCCTTCTCCCTTGTCCGTTTCATAAAAGATGATCTCTTTTTATTTTTAATAGATTTATTCATATTAAACATACTTAACAAATATAAATCAATTTAAATTATATTTCTAACTTTTTAAATGCAGAGTCACTCAAAACCCTTATTTTCATTCATCTCCTCAATAAACAAATATTTTATCTATATTTAAAACTTTTCATTTTTAAATTAATTATAAATAAATAATATATATTTTATTTATTGTATTATATAATTTTTTATTATCTACAAATTGATATATAATCGTAAAAATATTTAATATACACAAAACACTATTTATATAAAATAATAATAAAATAATATAATAACTTAGTTATTTATACTACCTAAAATATGGTGTTTCTAACAAAATGACTAATATTCTCCGGGGGAGGAGAGAGTATTTTCTTTGTCTTAGACAACATGTAATATTTTCTTTTGGTATGTTCCAAATACCTTGTAATATTTTTAAAATAAAAAATAATTAATTATATTTAGTCTTTATTTTATATTTCATTTCATCACATCATCAAAATAAAAAATAAAAATAAAAATAAAATTTTACCTCCATCTGCCATTAAGGGTTATATTTACATTTGCGTATTTGTATTAACTTTGAAAATATTATTATATTTATATAAATATTTTTCTATTAGTATTATAAGACACTAATTGAAGTATTTTTACAATTTTTTAAATTTATATTATATTTTGATATAATAATTAATATTTAAATACTAATACGCAAAAAATAAATGAGACACTTAAAACCGAACGGAGGTAATAGTAACGGAAATTGACTAATGATGGATAGGAAGACGCATCAATTGTACCATGCACTGTTAAAAAATAATTAGATATAGATAGAGTTGTTAACGATCCAAGTCAAACCAAATTTTAAGTGTTCGTTAACGTTCGCGAACAAGGCTCGTGTTCGTTCATTAATCAAACGACTCTGTTTATATTGTTTGGTTCGACTCGTTAACGTTCGCGAACGTGCCGAACCGAGCCGAGTTCACGAACGGCTCGGTTCGTTTAACAGCTTTAGATACGTTCGCGAACAAAGCTCGGACTCGTTCGTTAACCAAACGAATCTGTTTATATTGTTCGACTCGATTCGTTAACGTTCGCAAACGAGCCGAATAGAGCCGAGTTCACGAACGGCTCGGTTCATCTACCCGCTCTAGATATAGATATACAACCTTAATTTAAAATATAGATATATATATATTTTAAATCAAACCCATCAGTCGGCTTCAATAAAACAAAATAAAATAAAATAATACTTTGAATAATCGGACAATTGGGCAAAAATCCCTCTGTCCATTTATCATTTGGGATTCAGTCCCTAAAGATAAAAACTTGCTCTGCACTCCCCCCTTTTTCCTTCTTCCTTCTTCTTCCTCCCTAATCGTATTTCTCTTCATTCTGTTTCTTTTCGCGCAAAAAATTCTTGTGAAGCCGTTGTCCTCTTCCGTGAGCTCGAAAGCCACATCCCGCACAGGTAAGCTTCTTGTCTGGTTCGATTGAAAAATTTCCTAGGGCACTCTCCGAATCCTGTTCCGGTTCCCTGTCGTCGGCAGTCGGTTGATTCGGTCGAAGAACTACCGAAGGCTGTCACCGGTTCCGTGGCCCGTATTTCTTGGTCTCCGGTGAAATTAGATGTACCAAGTGTGTTGTGTCGATTGATTCGGTCGAAGAACTACCGAAGGCTGTCACCGGTTCCCTGGCCCGTCTTTCTTGTTCTCCGGCGAAATTAGATGTACCAGGTGTGTTTTTGTATCGATATCTTAGTTGGAAAATTATTATCTGGAAGAAAATGTTTGGGTATTATCTTGGGTGATTTTGATAATAAATTTTGTTGCTATTTAGGGTTTAAGGGTAATATTTATTTTGTGAAATGGGTAATTTGTTGCTATTGAGGATCAAGACATTACTAGAATTCCGTAAGAACATATGATTTTAGTGTATTTTGTGTAAGATTATCTAATCGCCCATACGACCTAATATAGTTCATACGTTCATCGGTTGGATCGCTAGGTTCCGATGGACATGGAGCAAAGTAGTCTGAAATTATTAATTATATGTTCCTACGAAGGTGAGCATCATGTAATTCGTTTAGAAGAGGGCACCACGCTGGAGGATCTTTACCGGAATATATCGAAAAGATGGAATAAAGTGAGTATTGAGGCGGTAAAACTCCAATATATTGCACCTATTCAGAAAAGCTACGTGACGTTATTGTGTGACGATGATGTCGCAAATATGTGGAGAATGCATATCTTGTTAAAGGTAATGTTTGTGGATATGATTGCACGGTGCAGAAGCGAGCACCAGAGCATGCCTCTCCGAAGCACGGTTGGACGCAGGTACGTTACTCATCATTTGTAATTAAGTAGTCTTTATTAAACTTTGTTATAGAATGCAGTCACAATTGTTCCTTATGAAAGAATGCAGTCTGTAAGCACTTATAATGCAGTATGTAAGAATGCAGTCTGTAAGCGCTTATAATGTCATGTTCAACACATCTAAAAACATATTGTTTATAGGTTACGTTAGTAATAATTCTTTCATGATATTGGCATACAACAATACCGTGGTATATTGTTGCGATGTTGTTTGTAGGTAGTAAGTATCCACCTCCGCGATTTTGTAGTAGCGCGGTGCAGAACGAACCACTGAAGAGATTGTAAAGATATGTAGTGGGGATATAACGTCTTGAAGGTATTTAACGATTTTCACTCCTTCTTCACACGCCACTGTCAATATCCTCTAGCAATCCGGTTTAGGTAGGTGTACCATGATCGATGCGTTGAAATTTCTGTAGCCCATGGCATTTACTGCATCACGTAGCCTGCTGCGGTGAATAGATGCAGTTGTTCTTTTAAATACCCTGGATGACACGGTAGGTAACCATAGACACCGTGGACATACTCGGTCGAGTAAGATGGGTACCCATGTTTTTCCCTTTACTCTGAAAATATCTATTACCATATAAAATTAGAACTACTTACATCTGATATAATTTTCATTCTTATTATTGTATTTGCAATGTAGGGGTGAAGCCGAATGTTCTGGATTGAACGAAGATTGCGCCGATGGTATCTTTATTCCCGACGAAAGTACTAGTCTAATTGCAATGCAGAGATGCATTGTCGGGGAAGGGCAGACATTCAAGGGACCGCAGGAGTTTAGAAAGTTACTGAAGAATTATTCTATTGCCACTCAGAAACACTTCAGGTACCAAAAGAATGATTCGAGCAAAATTATTGCGGTGTGCATCGACAAAGGCTGTGGTTGGCGTATTTATGCATCCTTCCATGCTCGTGATGCATCATTCAGCATTCGTAAGTGCAATTTACATCACACATGTACTATGAGTCTATTGCAATCAAGAGATCATCCAGCAGCCGATGCGAACTGGATTTCTGAGGTGTACAAAGATAAGATACGTTCTATGCCAGCGTATAAGGCATCCGACATCCGGGAGCATATCCAAACAGATTATGGGATTGACGTGAAATATCATAAAGCATGGCGTGGCAAAGAGAATGCGATAAGGGCAATTAATGGTGGAGGTAGAGACAGTTTCTCACAACTTCCGTGGTACTGTCATGCACTTCGGGAGTCAAATCCGGGAAGTATTATAGACTGCGAAGTTGAGCAGGCAACCAAACGTTTCCAACGCCTTTTTGTTTGTTTAGGTGCATGCCGGCTGGGTTTTTTGAGGGGTTGCAGGCCCCTACTCTTTCTTGATGGGACACATATAAAAAACAAACACAAAGGGTGTCTGCTAAGTGCAATTGCAGTGGATGGGGATGATGGGATGTTTACTTTAGCATTTTCTGGTACGTAATTTGATATTAGCTACAGTTGTCATTTTGGTAGAATGCTGAGTATAGGTGTTCGTGTATGCTGTTTTCCATGCTCTCTTTAGGCACGTATGTACCCTTATACGTTGGAAACCTTTGTAGTTATTTGTGTTCTAATTTGTTGACTTGCAGCTGTGTCTACGGAAAATGATGAAAATTGGGAGTGGTTTTGCTGGAAGCTGCGATCTGTTTTAGAATGTGAGGGACGCACGGATTGGAAACAGTACACATTCTTCTCGGATCGGCACTCGGGTTTACTAAAGTCAATCTCGTGCGTCTTTCCCGGAGCACATCATGCGTACTGTCTCCGACACTTAGTGGACAACTTCCGTACCCAGGTATATGTACGTCAATAGTAATTTGTAATGAACATCACTGGTTATGATCAGCCATAAAATGTCTTTTTTTTAGGTTATGCGGAGATACCCAATGCATAATAAGAAGCGATGGACCGCTGTCTTCAATAAGGCCGCCTATGCTCCGTTGAGGAGAGATTTCGAAAACCACATTAGTTCTGTGGTCGAATCAATGCCATTGGCCAGGGACTTCATTACCCAATCACACCCAGAATGTTGGGCAAATTCACTATTCAGAGGCACTCGTTGGGGAATAATAAATAATAACATTGCTGAGTCATGGAATAGTTGGGTGAGGTCCGCGAGGTCAATGCCATTCGTTGGGATGTTGGATACCATTAGAAGGCAAGTGATGGTAATGATGAATGAACGCCGCGAAAAGTCGGAGATAATGCACGGAAGGCTCTGTCCAAAACAGGAGAGCAAGTTGGCACTATCGTACATGGCGTCTCGACGGCTACAGTGCAGTTCATCCTCTAGAACTGTATTCGAGGTAACAGATTGTAATGAAAGATACGCAGTCGATTTGGAGGCGCGCAAATGCTCTTGTCGAGAATGGCAAATGTTCCGATTGCCCTGCAAGCATGCCTGCGCTTGCATTGAAAAATGCAGTATGTCAATTTATGATTTTTGCGATCTTTACTATAGCATTGAATGCTACAGAAAAACGTACCAGGAGCCAATAAATCCCGTACCGACGCATGATATGGACGTGATTGTTGAAATTGAGGCGGACCAAATTCACCCTCCTCCGTCGTCTGTCCAACCAGGCCGGCCAAAGAAGCGAAGGTTCGAGTCCCAGCAGGTAAAGAATGCACGAAAATGTGGTCGTTGTGGGCGTCTTGGACATAATAGAAGAAGTTGCAAGCAACGAATAGATTAGCGAACCTTTTTTTCATTGTACATCTTTTTGGCTTCCAGGAGTATATATTAAGACAGTAGGTACATATTCAATAGCTATATTGTAATTGTTTTTTGTGTCTCTAGGATGTAACCGGTTGGATCCATCGACTTATTTGCAGTAGTAAGTGGTATGTAGCCCTCTCACGCAGGTATATGATGAAGTTGTGAAGGTTCATAGTTATATTCTGCAGGTATATTTTTCATGTACTGAGGCATTTGATTATGTAGCTCTGTAGGGACGGATGGTTAATGTAATATCTAATTGTTTTGAAAGTACATGCTATCCTATTTTTGGGTTATTACTAGGAGGTATAGTTGTTGTATTAAACTCGTCATACTAACCAACTGCATGTGTCATACAACTTAAGTATTTGTTGATGCCTTCTTTAACCATCAGCAGTAAATACATGCTATTTGAAGAAAAGAAAAAAAAAGACCGTTTCCCCAGCCACAGGTAACCAGGGCATACATAATTGCAACTGAAGTATAATGTCACGGTTGTTTTAAGTACGCAATAGCTTACAGAGGGTATATGAATAATGATTCCAACATATAGGGTTGCGGTCCGAGTAGTAACCATATTTTATTTTGTTTATACAGTATTCAAATTGTATTACCGTGTAATAACTTGGAGGCGTAGTATTGATTAAAATTCAGCACACAGCTACGTACCAGACTTCCATATGCCACACAACTATATTGTGGTTATATTATCGTGTCTATTCTATTGTGTTCTAATTCAATTAACGGGTAAGCGATGTAAGTATAATCTGTGGCCTAAAACACGTATGTCAAGATTATGGGGTTGACGAGAAACGCTACCATGGTTAAGCCAATACACTCTTACCATCAGTTCATGAATATTTTAAGAGAAAAGGCCGAGTCCCCACCCGCAGGGCACCAGAGCATTTGAAATGGTAACGGAAGTATAAAGGCTATTTCCGTAGGTACATAATAGATACTATAGGGTATTTTTAGTAATGACTCCGTTACTTATGCATCTGAGCTAAGTACCAGACTCGCTGAACGGGGTACACAGATTGCGTATGCGGGCATCTGTGTTGTAGTTGTAGGTATCGTAGTTGTAGGTATAGTAGCACTTATCTGTAACCACGTGTTGCTTAGCATTCCGCAGGAAATAGTTGATTGTAATCTAGACGTTGGCCCACACGCAATTACCAGACACCTATGTCCCGCACAAATATTTTGTTGTAATATTATCATGTTTTTTTAGTATTGTTTGTTTTAAATTAACGAGTAAGCCCTTGCAGTATCTCCGGTCGATTAAAACATGGCGTCCAGTAGGGTTTTATGAGAAACGCCGACACGGTTGAACTGATTCAAAGTGAACGCTATTTCAGTGATCAGTGCAAAAGAAATGACCAGTCCCACAAACGCAAATGACTGGAGCATGTAATATATAAATGGAAGTACATACTAGTTTTCCGTAGGCACATAAAAGCTATCAACGGGTATCACCACACAACGCATGTATATAATGAAGATGACAAATCAATCCACATAAAAGACATTTACCAATTCCATCACCTCGATACACAATGCAATAACTTCCCAGATCAATCCAAATTGAAGACATTAAACAAATCCATCACCTCCACACAACACAATAACTTCCCAGATCAATCCAAACTGAAGACATTCAACAAATCCATCACCTCGCCACACAACGCAAAAACTTCCCAAATCAATCCAAATTCATTACATGTGTTAACCTGCCCTATTTTTCCATCGGGGTCTACGTTTCAGAAGGGGGGACCTTTCAATATCCTCGCCGCAATCGTGCCTCGGTAGCTCTTGACATCGCCGAAGTCCTCGCCGAGGACACCAACGACATTGACATCTGGACCTGCCCGCGCATAACACTCTGCGAACATGCAGACTAAAGGTCCACAGTCCAACGTTTCACCCTGGTGTCGGCATCTAATGTACTCGGGCATGTCGCTGACCATAGGCCATAGTCGTGACGCGTTCATATACAACGATAAAAATCGCGTCTGCACAAATAACGTTACTCTTTCGTTAAGGCATTCACCCTACCCATAGGCAATTAATTATGATCATTCGAAATACGTACCAATTTCTTTGCATTCCCCTGCCCGAAGGGGTCGCGCATTGAGTTACACTCCAACACAACACGTTTGACGGTATCCAGTATGCAGAGATGCCAGTGGAACCGGGTGTGTACGGGTAGAAATATGTACCGGCACCCAGACCGGATTTTGTCCATGATTCCGGCAATCTCTTGGCCTACGGTCACTTGCAGCGAGTTGGCAAACGCGAGTACATTACCCTTATTGATGCTCGGCTTTTTCGCTCCCCTGCTTGGTCGTGATAGCGCGTCGTTCACGGCTTTCTGAAAATCGAACACAGCAATCAACGCAATAATAACAATGTGATTTGTAATACTAACCGTATAAATTCCAAACAGGATACTCACCGCTACGAACCATGGCACACAACCACACCGCACCTGCGGATTGTGTTGGAGCTGATATTCATTGCTGCATAGATGATATAGGTACGCGTCGATGACTTCGCCTTTCACAGCTTCGTCAAACAGTAGTTCTAAAACGGCATCGGCCGAGACAGACACGACGCCCTGCTGCCATACAGTGTCCCTACAACATGATAGTCGCAAACGGATAAATACATTGATTGAGAAAAATATATAAAGCCGTAAGAGTGAATAGCAATACCGGACAGCGAATGACGCGAGAAAATGTTCAATGGTGTTCGTCTCATCCTCAGATAAGGAACCCTTTCCACAGTAGCTGTCGTTATTGCGATATCCCTCCCACTTTTGTGCTCCAGGGTCTGCTACAACCTTAGCATCCGAGTCCCCGTCGTCGCCGACGACAAATGGTTCCTGAACCAACAATTAAGATAATCATGTTTCCGTAGGTATCTGTATTTATTGTACAGGTATTGACGCAGAAACACTAGGTATTTATGAATCTATCTGAAGTATTTTGAGCCAGACGACTTATATTTGTATGGAACTACGTACCTGCTCATTATTGACGTCGACCGCTGACTTTCCTTTCGCCCTCCGTGTTCTTCTCGCTTTCTCAATTCGCGGTGTCGACACGGGTGTCACGAATTCAGGCTTCTTCTTTCTCTTCCGATCCTTACGTGCCATTACACCACGTACAATCGATGAATCTGCGGCCCTGCTACAAGTCTCACGGTCGGAGTCATCGCCCTGCTACAATTTCAACAAAGCAAATAATCATTCAACAAATAGACAACTACGACCGGACAAATTGTAATTACTATATTAATTAGCTTACCTTGACATCTATCGGTGCAACATAAGGAACAATGGCCATCAATTGGTTAAACTCTAGCAGGCTACCAACCCCTTCGTCATCTGACTCGTTTATCGGATCAACTTCGGCCAAAAGGATGTCCATTTTTTTTTTGCTTCGGCGCTCGGTATTCGCTTGCTCTTCCGCTGCCTCCTCGGGATCCTCCTCAGTCTGCCTCTCCTCCTCCCCAGTTTTTTCCTCCTTCTCCTCCTCCTCCTCCTCTTCACCCTGACTCTCCTCCTCCTGACCTTGCTTCTCCTCCATGTCGGCCTGCTTCTCTTTCCTCTCAGACTCCACAGCCATCCGGTCTGCTGTCTCTTCATCCCCATAGTTTGCATCACCCTCCTCGCCATCGCTCTCGTCCTCACCCTCACCTTCACTGTCGTCATCGACAACACCGGCTCTAGATCTTTGTAATTTATGAGCAAGTCTGGCAATTGCAGTGTCTTTCTTCCGCAGCTCCACCTTCAAAGCCGCAATTTCCTGCGCTGCTTCCTGCAACATATGTTAATAATGTCATATAAGAAATTATTTTATCCATTTACAACGGTAGCAACATTGAATAATGCATTTACCTCTGAAGCATGACAAATAGCACGAACGAACTTTTCTTCCGTGCCTATCCGATAGAATTCCTGAACATCGGACCGTTTTATGGAAGTCAGTTCATCAACTGCATGAACCCTGGACATTGGACCGAGGCTATTCAGCCACCGAAAGAGACGCGGTACCTTCGGAAGGCACCGTGCCTTGTCCAGAGTTGGGACCCTCTCATTGAACCAGGCCTGCACATATTGTAATAGACATTACTGCCAACAATAATACATATTGTGCAATATACCAAAATAAGTAGAAAAAATTAACAAATCCGATATTACATTGCTTACCAACAAACCCGCGGTGCAGCCTGTCAAATATTTTTTCCCGGACTTGAAGTCGCTTATAGACTTCAACAGATAACGGTGACTCGCGGGTCCCCACGCGTAGTCACCAATCGCACTCAGGTCTTCCACATACGGTAACAAAAAAAGGGGTACAGAATAATTCGCAGAACAAAATAAAATATTTGCAAAAACAAACATAATAAAAAGACGAGCAACATCCGCAACAGAAAGAGGCTCCAGCCCCTGCAACAGAGCCTCACGCAGCTTCTGCAACACCTGCCCGCGGGTTACAGAACGTGGCTTGCTCCCAAAAATTCGAACAAACCATTCGCTTTCGACCGATGTATTTTCGGTCACGTAGACTCCTTTCGCGTGTAGTCCTATGACTACAGAATATTCTTCAACTTCAAACGGAAGCTCAATGTCACTTCCAATCTTGAAGGACATAGATTCCGAACTGAAGCTATTGACGAGGGCAACAAGTCGGTGCCATGGAAACTTCATTTTCGGGCAATCCAGAAAATGCCCGAATGGTGTCATGTTTATAGCTGCGATGTGTTGGTCTCTCATGTGTTGCTTCAGTTTGGCCAGCTCATTATGAAAAAAAGGTAATGCAAATCGGCTGATCACCGATTTGTGCTCCTTGCCTGGCCTGTAAGTAAAAACCATAAGTCCACGTTACCCAAATCTCTAATTTAGTTAAAAGTTTTTCACAATTTAGCAGGAGTAAAAACGCATTCCGAGTATACAACAGTGCCGTTCAGGTATATTAATTGGCAAATTAGACCAAACAAATGAAACTCCTGGTGCCTAATATTACCGCATTTATCAACCCACAAATATGACTATTTACCGAACAATCCACCAAAAAACCTAAAATATGCAACTTCGAGTAACTAAACAAAATATACATCTCCAAAATTAACAAAATCAAAGATAAAAACAGATAAAATCACCCAAAATCGGCCGAACCGGGTTTCCTGGCCAAAAATTCGAACAATTTCAAACCACCCGTTGAACTAACACAACACCGAACACCCAGGGCTCCTCATCACTAAACCGAGGCATACAAACACGGGACCAAGGCTTCTACCCCAAACAATCGAGTAAACTACGATATAAAATTCGATTGTCAACAAAATCATAAAACGAAAAGGGTTTCGACCAGACACTTACTTTTTTGAACTCCTCGTGGGGGATCGCGGCGGATTCGCGGTTTTTCTCACCATTTCGCTGAACAAAATGTCTTACTGCTGATCGTCGAGTTCGCGAGGGACGATTTCCTTCTCGAAGAACTAGGGCTTGAACGGAGAGTGAGTGAGGGGAGTTAGGGAATGTTTCAGTTTCTATATCGTGCATATTTTCTGTGATTTTTTTTTAAAAAAAATCACAAAATAAGGTACGCAGTATTTAAATGGAATTATCTAATCATATACTGGGGGTAGAGCGGGAGGTAATGTAGGTATATATTATAAAATTGGGAGTATTTATTAATCAATCGTAAGTACATGTTGCATATACAATGGTGATTGAGTAGAAAATACAAGAAGGGAGTTATAACATATCTAATCAATAAAGTAGGGACTGCAGATCAATTAATTTACAATGGGGACTGAATTGCAAGCAAAATACACTGACAGGGATTTTAGTCCAAGTCTCCCTTGAATAATTAGGTGCATTTCGTGTTGCGTGCACGTTATTCATTCTCCAAACAACCATAATATTTACTTGAATAATAATAATAATAATAATAATAATAATAACTGAAAGCAGAATATGTTGACTTTAAAATTCCAATATGTAAATAGTAGTAACGATCTTCAATCCAGATCTTTATAAAAATATATATATATATATATATATATTTGAATTAGTCTATTGTTGTGAGTTAATTTCATTCATTTCATAAATACAAATGATTATGTTGGTTTACTTCCATTTTGTACATAAATTAATTAATTATATGTAAATTTTAAAAATTTAAATTTTTAGATGAGACGATCATTTATATCATCTAATATGATATTTAAATTTTTAAGTGAGACCGTAATTTATATTATATAACATGGTATCAAAATTAAGAATCTTGTGTTCGAATCAAGTTTTGTATAGTGATATTTCCTTACACATGAGGGGACGTGTTGGTTATTTACATCATTTAATAATGTTACTCTACCTGATAATATATATTCCCTTTATCCTAATTTAAAGTATTCTTGTACTATTTTCGCATATCTCATCTTAAAGTATCACATTCATATTTTTTATTAAAAATTAATTATATGCTAATAAAAAAAAATCTTTAATTTATAGTTAAATTACAAATATACTATTAATATGCAATTACGTTATATATAAAATAAAATAGCAAAAATATCAAAACTTTTTAAACTACCACTATTTTTTTTTTATTTTTTTTTAGTGGGTAGTAATATAAGAAACTTGGGGTTTGTTTAGACATGGATTTTTGGAAATTTGGAAGTTCGGAAAAAATAAAAAAATTAATATTTAATTTGATATTTTATGAGAGAAAAAACATATTTGATGTGATATTTTTTTAAAAATGAATAATATCAAATGAATGAAAGTATATTATGTAAACAAAGCGCAAATGATTGATAGGAAGGTGCATCGATTGTAGCATGCAATGTTAAAATTATACTCCCTCCGTCCCACATAATTTGTTCCTATTTTCTATTTTCGTCCGTCTCACATAACTTGTCATTTTTATTTTTGGAAATATAATTATGCACTTTAATCGCATTTTAAAATTTTAAATTTTATAATTTTCTTAATTTTAATTAAACTATTTATTTATCTTAATCTTAATCTATAATTATTTTTACTAAATAATAATTATTTTTACTAATACACTTTTTAATTACTTATTAATTATACTTTACCTAAATTTTCATGTCTACTGTAATACACCCATATTACATAGGACGGAGGGAGTAAGAAAATAGAAACTGAACAAAATTTTTAGACAATTTATATAATTATAAGAATAGAAAAAAAAAATGTTTTACTTCTAAAAGTTGGAACAATAATTTTAATATAAGTTTATTCTTACACCAACAGACCATCTCGAATAGTTTTAATTTTGATATCTATATAGATATATATATATATATATACATATATTTTGTATTCGGACACTCACTCATTTTCACCCTTTCTTTCTTGCGTTTGCACACGCAAGTATATTGTATTCTTTTTTTTTGTCCGGTCATATTTAGTTTTTTTGCGCTATGCATGACATTAAAAAAATAAATATTTAATTAAAAAAATAAGAAAAAAAAAAGAAAAAAGTTAAATGTATTTTTTAAAATTTAATTAATAATTAAAAAATATAATAAAATTAATGATATTTGTGATAAGTAATTATTAAATAAAGAGTAATAAATAAATATTTATTTTTTTATTTTTTTAAATATAATAATATGATAAATTTACTAGAGGAATGGGATAGAAAAAAAAAAAGCAGAAATTGAATTTGAGGAAGGAATAAAATATACTTCCACCTTCCCATATCTATATATCCATTTGTTTTTTACACAGAGTTTTAGAAATATTAGTATTATATTAGGATAAAGTAGAAATAAAAGTAAAAAGACTAAATTAACCATATTAGTATTGTATGACATATTTGTAACGTTAGGTAGATAGTACAATTACTAAAAAAAATAGATATTTTGTTATGGGACGATCAAAATAAAAAAAAATGAATAAATTATTAAAGGACGGAGAAAGTATATATCTCTTAATTAATAGCGCAACACGATTTTATTTTATTTTATTTTTGGCGCACTACACTTTCAATTCATATGTTTCACGTCAAGAAACGGAAGACCATGATAAATTATGGGTGAGAATAATTATCTTTAATTAGTAAAATGATTAAAATTAAATATAAAATTAGATTGGATACATAAAATTATCGATTTTAATTAGGGATGATAATGGGTCGAGTTCGGTCAAACCCGAGACCGATCTAAATATACATTATTAAACTCGAGATTCGAATTGGACTGGGTTATATTTGGACTCAATCATACAGATCCGACCCGAGAAGACATGATGGACTCGACAAACTCGCAAAAAGCTTTTACAATTTTTAAATTTTAATTTAAAATTAGATCCAAATACAGGTCCAACATATATTAAAATTTATGTATTTTATTTAAAAATATTATAATATAATAATAAATAATAAATAAATTAAACTAAAAAATATTTTTAAATATAATACTCTATTCGTTCTATTTATTTTGTCATTTTCTATTTTGGAAAAAAATTATATGCTGTTAATCTCATTTTAAATTTTTAAATTTTAATTAAATTAATTAATTATCTTAATATATAATTATTTTTATCGTATGATAATTATTTTTACTAATACATTTTTAATTATTTAGTAACTATACGCCTTCCAAATTACCTACTGTAAATGAACACCATAGCCCAAACAAAAGGAATATTATAAATTACTTTATATATATAATAAAATATTATTAATAAATTAATCGAGTCCATATCAGAATTCGAGTAGGATCTACCGTTGGATCCACCCGACTTGGACTCGATAAAGATACACAATATTGATCCGATATCCGAATATTTGAATTTGATCTAAAATAAATGAATCCAATTCGAGTCGAATTTCATGTCTACTCGAAAACACACGTAATTACACAAAATAATAATAATAATAATAATAATAAATAAATAAATAAATAAATGGAAAGGTGGTAGTTGGAGCAAAATTGACTAACAACTACCCTTAGCATTATTTAAACATAAAACCCTAAAACACAAGTCATCTTTATTTAAAAAACAATAATAAAATAATGTTGTGGAGAGGGGCAAAAGCGCCTCTCTAGACAACTATTCAAAAGAGCCGTTGTCTATTTTTCTTTTTACAATCTATCGCAATAAAAATAAAAAATAGGTATTTTAATTAAAAATAAATAATTTTTTTATTAATGATAAAATATTTAAAAAATAATAATTAATAAATAATAATAAATTATGTATTTTATTATTTTGTATATAATTAAAAAAAAGGTAAACTGTAAATAATAATATACTTTTTATTATAATAATTATACAATAAATTTAATATATAATTTAAAAATTAAAATATATATTTAAATATTTTAAAATTATAAAATATGAATATTATTTTATGGAGAATAAAATTTTCTATCGTACAAGTAAATAAATAATAATTTAATTTGTTTATAATTAATTAACATATACTATTAACTTTATATAAAAATAGAGTTTTAAATTAAGATAAAAATATTTAATTTTTTATGAGAGAGATAAAAATTAAGAGGTTTTGAATGGGTCTGTGTATGATGTATATGTATTGTACAGATAAATTAATTTATATTTATTAAATATATTTTGATTTAATAATTTTTATTTAAAATTAAAAAAAATATCAATTTTTACAGGACGGGAAGAGCAATAAATATTTTGAAATTTAGAAAATTAAAATTTTAATATTATTAAAAATATTTATACAAAAATTATAATAATTTAAATTTAATATAAATAATTATAATTATTTTATCATAATTAATTAACTATAACTATCAATAAACATAATAAATCAATAAATATATAATTTATTATAAATATTATTACAAAATTTAAATATACCACCAAAATTGAATACTTTCTACTTAATTTGATTATTTTTTCAATATAAATTGTTTTTCTAAAATATAATCATACATTCTAATCACATTTTACAATTTAATATTTATAATTATTTTTACTAATATATTTTTTAATTACTTATTAATTATATAATATATAAAATTTTGTGCCTAGCTAAAATTGATAAATTAGCTGAAACGGATGAAGTAAAAAACATATTTTATCCGAGAGGAAAAATTATTTTTGGTCTTATTCAATATCATAATTATTAATTTTGGTCTTATTCAATATCATAATTATCAATTTTGGTCTTATTTAATTTTTTCTTATCAATTTTGGTCTCACTCAAATGAAAGTTTATTACTTTAGTCCCAAGATAGTTGACTGGATTGAACACAACCGTGTTGGAGGATTCAAAAGGTGAATGGGCGTCCCAACAGTCAACAATATTTTTTTTTGCAGTAATTTTTTAAAAATATTAAAAATTGATTATTTTTTATATTATGAAATAATTGTAAAAAATATTTTTGATGACTTATAAATATATATATTAAATAATTTTAACTAATAAGTGAAAATAATAATAAAATGACCTACAATATAATTATATTGAAAATATTATCGTGAACATAACCTAAAACATGGTTGTGTTGATAACATGGTTGTGAACATGGCCTATAACATAGTTGTGTTGAGCACAGAGCAGTGAACATAAACATGACCTGACTGTGTTGAGAACATGACAGAAATATAGCTGTGTTCAGAAGACGGGCAGGAATACGGCCGTGTTCAGAAGTGAAGAGTAATCAACACGACCGTGTTGACTTCCTGGGACATCCAGTCACCTTCTTCCGAGTAATCCAAAACGGCCGTGTTCAGTCCCAATCAACCATCTCTGAATTAAAATTTATAAATTTTTTTTTGAGTGGGATCAAAATTGATAAAAAATTTATTTTAAAAAAATCAAAAATTGATAATTATGATATTGAATAAATAATAACTTTTGTTCTTTATTCCACCACACTTGTGTCTTGTCCCAATCAAATTAAATATTAGAAAATTCTAACTCTCCCTTTAATACGGAGTGGGTCTCACAAACACACCCAATTATTCATGTCGCATCACCTTTTTCTCTGGACCATCACTAGACAACAACAGCAAATAATAATTATGAAATTCTTAAATTGAACAATCAAAAGAAAATTTATGTGTATGGTAGTATTATCTAACAGAGCAGCCAATTAATAATAGGTTCTATTTAATTTGGGATTTTTAAATTTATTTACTGTGAAATTTCTTTTTTATAAAAAATAAAAAAATTACATTGTATTGATCGTTAAAATAAGAGGTCTATATATATAGACAATACAAAGTTGAGACATAAATTTAAATAGTCTAATATATGATAAGACCAAATCTAAATATACTGAATCTAAAACTGAATTTCTAAAATATGAACAGAAACCAATTTGAGTTTAAAAAGAAAGTTGAATACAGACACAAAAGACGCAAATAAAAATAATAATTACTTGTTTGCAGTTTCTGTCGCCGTTCCACCGTGTCAAAGCTAGAAATAATATTTTTAACTGAATTAGAGTCGAAAACAATAAGACTCACAACGGAGTCAGAAACGACAGAACTTTCACTGGAGCCGGAAACGACGAGAGTACTCTCCATAAAGTCGAAAACAACGAGACTCTAAACAAAATTAGAAACAACGAAATTCTCAATGCAATTGGACATATGACTATAGAGAAACATGGCAAACCGATTGCAGACAAATACGGAGACAAAATTCTCAAATGGAAAAATAAGCAAACAAAACATTCAAATCGAAATGCAGACAGAAACTAAGACTCTAAACAAAAAAATTAATGACGAAATCTCAATTTTTTTAGACCTTAGGTACATTTCAAGTTGACAACATAAAACAAACTCGATACACAAAATAAAACAGATTGGATAAACTTAAATTTAAATATTGATAAGACCAAATTTAAATCTACTAAATTTGAAACGGAATATATAAAATATCTACTATCTAATCCTCCGATTAATTATTAATAAAAATACATATTATTATCTTATGGAGCATCGTATTGGACTATTATTATTTAAATGAAGATGCCAAATACAAAAAGTAAACAAACCCAAATTGGTCCAACACTCAACTTAAAACCTTTATGTTCAAATTGTTTAATTTAGAAAATGGCCAACCTAATTTGAATGCAAAAGAATGTATTTGATTTTTTGTTTATTACATTGATATTGTTGTATTTTTTGTTCCATTCAATGATTGATGGCCTTTTTTAACGATCCTTTGTAAATACAAAAATACACGAGTTAGTTAGAAAATAAAAATAAAAGTTCCAAATCAATAATGTCTAATCAAAACTTATACTTCTTTTTTCTTAACAAATTATTTATTTTTTCACGTTAAAAAACTCTTACAATTTATAATATATTATATAAATGTCATTATTTTTATATCATAAAGGTTAAGTTTGTCATTTTATCTTAATTTATACTCCCTCCGTCCGGCTCGTCTCATTTACATTTTGTGTATTAATATTTGAATATTAATTATTATATAAAAACGTAATACAAATCAAGAGAAAATAAGTACTTCTTATAATACTATTATAATGATATTTAAACAAAAAAATTATACAAATACAAAAATATTTTTAATATTAATTAAAATTATGCAAAAGATAATTGGACCCTCCGGATGAGAAAATACTATATATTAATGTTATACTAATATTAAATAGTTTAAGAAACGGATGAAATATTTATTACTCCCACTGTCCCATAAATATAGTATTAATTAGATTGGATACGAAATTTAAGGATATTGATATTATATTGATAGTTGGTAAAAAATATTCTCCTTGCAAGCGTGTTAGTGTAAAAAGTAACGACAATTGTGTAATAAAAATGAAAAAATAGAATTAGTTTTATGATGATATGGTTATTTATGAAAATAAGATTATTGTTTTGAGACCGAAAAAAATAATAAATAAGACTATTGTATTAAGACGGAAAGAATATTAAAAATAAATTAAGGTTAAAAGGTATGAACACATACACTGAAAATTAGAAAAATAACCAAACAAACAGATAGATAAACCAAACACTCTCTGCTTTGTGGTTTACGGGTGAGACGAACAGATTCAATTATCTTTTCATCATGCCGATGGAAGAGCAGTAGTAGATCGCGGCTTCGGCAACATTTTCCTACCCGGCGACAGACTCCTTCGAGACAAATTCGAACAGCTTCGGATAACATTGTTCGTGTCCCCCGAACAGCAGCTGTCTTTTCTTGCGGATCATTCTTGGTCAAGAATTTGGCATACCACTTGGCTGATTGTTTAAGGTATCGTTTTTGGTTGTCCAAATAGTCGACGTAAACCATGCCCATTCTAACGGTGTATCCACTATTCCATTCGAAGTTGTCGCACCAAGACCATACGAAATATCCCTTTACATTGACTCTATCCCTACATGAAAGAAAAACAATCTTAAGGTTGTTTTTTCTTTGTTCTTTTAATGACGTAGGAATCAGTAGTCGCTACTTTTTTTTAGTGCACTTTGAATAAATTTTCAGCCGAATATAATAGTCTGGCGTAGAGGGATTTTGAATCCATGACCTCATGGCCCCTCACAGTACTACTAGGTCACCCTTACAAGACATATTGTTATGGCTGCGAATCAGGTATGCTGATTTGATCAGATCAATATATCAAATAAAGATATATTTATGATATAACATATGCTATATTATAATTTAGCATATGATATTTTATAACACATCAAATGCAGTGTTATGTAAAAATATATGTTGTATATCTTTATGTGATATGCTAACTCGGTCAAATTAGCACCATGCTGATTTAATTGGATCAACACCTGGTCCGCGCCCTATTGTTATTACTTGATAAAAGAGTGAATATATGTAGTGATAACTTACTCTTTGATTGCTAGGAGTACATTTTGAATATGGTCACGGAAATAATTCTCACGCCACGGATCATTGCACGCCTCCTCTGCAGTGAGCCTTCCATCATTCGGTTGAGTCACACCTGAAAAAAAATGTCAAAAATATGAAAACACAGTCGAAGTTACAGATAAATTTTATTAAAGCTAGAATTACCATTTTCGGTAATGTAGATAGTCGGGAGGTTGTATGTGGAGTTTTCATATTTATTCTTCATGTAATTCAACAGTTTTCGGATTCCCCATGGGACTATGTAAAGCCAGATCGAACCTGGAGCCTGAAGCACAGATCAAGACATAAAGAATTAAAGATTATATCGATCTTCATCAAAGTATTAATTATTCCATTAATTGGTAGCTTACCAATGGACCAATTTGCTGACATCCATCTCTTTCAACTGAGAGCAGAATATTTAGATCAATTATTCATATCTAAAATGTAATAAACAACAGAGTCTGCAAGAATTGTGTCGAAAACTTACTTAAAGTCGAGACTTTCTGATCGAAATCGAAGGGAGTTGCCTTTGTAGGGTGTGGATTATCAGCTACATAGTAGGATGTGTAATAATTTAATCCTAAAAAGTCGATGGAGCCTTTGAGCAGCTTCGATTCTTCTTCAGTAAACGGCTTCAAATTTTCAGGTGAAACAAGTTCTAACATTGATGCTGGGTACTGACCCCCCAACACTGGCTCCAAGAACCTACATCAATTTAATTTAATAATATGATTTTTTTTTAAAAAAAAAAAGTATTTAATTATAATTAGAGAAATTAAAGGTTAATCACCATCCAATTTGGAAGTCGGTTGCTCTTTGGTTAGCTGCAATGTCTTCTGGTTTATCAGAGTAAGGCTCATTCCAGTTGCTGCTAATGATCATTCCTATAATACCTTTTTGCTGTTTCTGTTATAGTTAACCAATAATTTGAGTCCCCCCAAAAAAAAATAAAAAATAATATGATGATGTTAATTGAAAAAATTAATATACTAACTTGAAATTTGGTTCTGTAAGATTGAACTGCCTTTCCATGAGCAAGGAGCAAGTTTCTTCCCACAGTGTACACTTCTTGAATGTAATTAGAATGAATTAGAATGTCCTCTTTGGTGCCATATTGGAAAATAGGTTGGGGACGACTAGGAGCATAAATCCCAATAACATATCCAAAGGTAGCAAACATATATGCTTCGTTCAAAGTTACCCATTTCTTGACCCGATCGCCAAAATGCCGAAAGCAAAGTTCCGCATAGTCTACATAATCCTTCCTGAAATGAGGAACCAAGAATATTGTGACTAGGATCAATGATCGAATAACAATAGAAACACATAAAAAATACAGATTTACGTGGTTTACCAACAACGGTGTTGTTGGCTAAGTGAAAAGGGGACAGATTTATTGAAGATGGCTAGGTTACAAATTACATATTTCATATCTTTAAATTTATTCAAATAAACTAGGGGTAAAGGGCGTTTGGTACAGAGAAATGGAAGTATACTTCCATTTCTCTTGTTTTATTTACGAGGATTTGTATTTTTTTTTACATTTCTCAATTGAATTATCTATTTTATCAAACAAAAGAATTAATTCTCTTTCTCTATAGAATTCATTTTCTCTGTAATTATATTTTGAACTATCAGCCAACCCCCCCCCCCCACCCATGCCAAGGGGAACTTCGCCCCCAGCCAAAGGGAAATTGATCATTTTCAAGTGTTTTCATGATGTAATGAAGAAGAGAAATGGTTCACAACTTACACAATGTTTTCACTCATAAATCCACCGTACTCTTGTTGCAAAAACTGAGGAAGATCCCAGTGAAACAAAGTAACAATTGGTTCGATACCTGCACATATTTAATGGAAATGAATGCAGAGAGAGAGAGAGATTGAGGGAGAGAGAGAGACAGATATTTGTCATTAATTTGGACACCTTTGTCGATGAGGGAGTTTATCATTTTATTGTAGAAATCGACTCCTTCCTGGTTAATTCCAAGGCTAATTTTTCCCTCTAATTAACAAATAAACATCAACCAACAAACATGTGAGCTTCGATTAGAAACAAGATTGTGATTGAGCATGTGTAGCTCATAAACTAAAAATAACGTACTAGGTAAGACTCTGGACCATGAAATTGAAAATCTGTAAGAATCCAGACCCATGGCTTGCATCATCCTAAAGTCATCCTGTAATCAGCACCGCTATCAGAGAAAAAATATCTATATACATATCTATATATATACACATATATATATAGAGAGAGAGAGAGAGAGAGAGTGGACAACTTCAGAACCTCATATTTGTGATACATATCAGCAGCAACATCCCCACTGGATCCATCAACAATTCTATCTTTAACCCTTCAAGGAAATAATCAGTATACATACATACAGATAGATACAGAAAATTGGAGAGAGAGAGATGAACCAGGGGTCTGCAAGGCGAAAACATCCCAAATGCTTGGGCCTCTACCTCCTTCGCTCGCGGCTCCTTCAACCTGAAAAGTAAGAAAATATATGAATTAAAATGGAAGCCCTTGTTGAACTTGTCTGAAGAATGATTGAGAATTAAGGATGCTCCATAGCCATAGACATAGACAGACCTGGTAAGCAGAAGTTGAAGTCCCAAAAATGAAATCAGAAGGGAAATCATTGCGACTGATGTTCGTGAATTCTGATTCCACCGACACTGCAGAAACGCCATTTCCAGACATTATGATGAGAAATTCAATAAAGCAATGAAAGAGTGGGGAACAAAAATTCTTGAAAAATGCAATTGCATAAAAGTTGTGATCACTTCTATTTATAGCCTTTTTTTTGAACTAATTACGTCTAAATTTGATTACTATATAGCTAGTATTTCTTTGTCATTACTCTTTTAAAAAATCTTCTAAATCCTTTTTAAGTATGGCATGTCAAAATGCTGAAAATTGACATACAGTGAAATGATAAATTTTTACCCAATGACTATGGTGGGCAAAAAAATTTAATCAAACTGTAAACCGAATCGAATTTTCGGTTAATCGAATAAATTCGGTTCGAATATAAATACTGCATATTTGATATTTGTTCGATTTAGTTTGGTTTTTATTTTTGATATTTTTTCGGTTCGATTTCGGTTCGGATATTTGAAGTATTTGTAAATATTTTGATTTAATTAGAATTTTAATATATATATTTTTTTAATTTCGAATTATTTGCAATATTACAAATATTTTTGGTTAATCGAAAATTCAATTAACCAAAATTTTCGGTTCGAATATGATTTGCAATTTGGGATATTTGTTCGATTCGAATATCAAATATCTGCATATTTGCAGATACACGCGTATAACCAAACCGCGACCACTCCTACTAATGACTTCATATGTATGAAAAGAAAAATGTGAGAAAGAGAAAGAAAGAGAGCATAGAGACAAGAAGAAGAGAAAGAACAACAATAAATACAAAACCGCAAAAGAGAGAGAGGAGCTTTTTTTGTACTGAATATTAAAGTCACTTGAATCAGATGGTGAGACCTGCCAACAATGAGCCATTACAATTGCTTTAAAATATATATTTATCCGTTCAATAACAAAATATTAATTTTTTTATTTTAATCCATTTTATAAAAAAATATTTATTTATTTTTTTAATAATTTTACTATCTATCTAACATTACAAATACCTTCACAACTTACAATATATTACACAAATATTATTACATTTATATCACACGTACTAATAAGGTTATTTTAGTTATTTATACTTTATTCATACTATATCCTGGGACGGAGGAGTATATATATTGAATTTGCTTTTCTTTTTTTCATAAAAAAAAATTATTCTCTTTCATCCTGGTGCAAAGTAATCATTTATTTTTTCACGTAGATTTTTTAATATTAATATTATAATAAATTGTAGTAAGAAAACAAAAATAATCCTATTACTATTGTATAATATAAAAGTAATGGCATTTGTGTAATATAGTAGAAGTTGGAAAAATATTTATTATGTTAGGGTGGTAGTATAATTACTAAATTAGGAAATAATAATACAAAAATAAAAAATGACAATATTTCAATAGGACGAAGGTAGTATACATCTTTTTATCTAAAATAAATAGAGAATCCTATTTAATAGTATTAAAAATAATACTCTCTTCGTCCACCTCTAAGGGTCACAATTACTTTTTGCGTAATTGTCCTTAAAATTTAAAATATTCTTATATTTGAATAATTTTTTTGTACAATATCTTTTTATTAGTATTATAAGACACTGATGAAAGTATTTTTACAATTTTTTCTTAATTTATACTACGATTTTGATATAATAATTAATATATAAAAATCAATACGTAACAAAGTAAATGAGACCTTTAAAGCTGGACGGAAGTAGTATTTAATGTTAAATATTGATTTTCTTTTCTTTCGTGAGATGTAGGATAGAAGAGGATGGGGCAAACAAACTGATCATATCGGGAATGTTTTTTTTTTTTTATTGGTTTTGATGGAGAAAGTATTAAAAATAATATTTTATGTTAAATATTAAAAAACCGTGAGGTGTCATATAAAAGAGGATGGGGCAAACAAAATTGATCATATCGGGAATATTTCTTTTTATTGATTTGAAAAAAAAAAAAATTGGTTTAAGTTTGATACTAAATGAGATATTTTATAATAAGAAAAAATATATTTTTTTTGGATTAGAAACTTGGGATTTCGTGGCAAAAGAAACAAATTCATTATTTACGTTAGAGTAAATTATATAAGACTCTCTTATGTTTTTAGTAAAAATGCATAAACAAATTTTGCTTTATTTATTAAGTGAAATTTTATTTTTTTTAAATGTAAAATTTGCACAAAATATCTTCTTCATCCAAAACTAATGTTTGGTTTTAAATAAAGACTAAAATTATACAAATTTTATACAAATAAAAAAAATATATTTAATAATTATTTTGAAATAAAATAAATAAATAATTGATTGTTTTTAAAAAAAAACCTATAAAGATAAATAATTCATCAATTATTCATTTATTTATTCAAAAAAATTAATAAAATATTTTATTTTTTTTATTTGTATAAAACTGCGTAATAACTAAATATGAATGTTGAACAGAAATGATGTTTCGTATCATTTTTACATTAACAAAAAAAAAAGATTTCATATAATAAATAAAATATAAAATATTTTGTATATTTTTCTTAAAAATATAAGGAAGTGTATATAATTTACTTTTACATTAATGTAAATTGGCGTACTATTTCTATCATGTAAATTAGTATATTTTTTGCATGCCTGGTATCTATGTTATGGTAAAGATATAAATTTAAATAAAATATAATTAGTAAGTAATTAAAAAATTTATTAGTATAAATAATTATTATATAATAAAAATAATTATAAATTAAAATTAAAATAATTAGATAGTTTAATTAAGATTAAAAAAATTATATATTATAATATTTAAATGTAATTAAAATATATAATCATATTTTTAAAAAACAAAAATGACATTATATAAAACAATCGTAAATAAAAAAAATGGATACTTCATGTGGGACGGGCGGAGTATACAATAAAAAATAATTTAAAAATATTAAAATTTTGGTATATAAAAAGTTTTTGGTATCAAATTTTTTTAATTATTTATTTTTTTGTTATAAAAAATACAAAATTGTTGGTAATTCAAAATTTACAATAAATATTTAAATATTCAACATATACCAAGTCATCCCCACACAACCAGATTGGATAGGAAGATGCATGTATTGTAACATGCATCCTTAAAATCTTTACTTTATTATTATTATTATTGCTATTATTTATAACGTGGGAATCGCAACTGCTATTTTTCGAGTGTATTTTGAGTAAATCATCAAATTTAATAGCTTGTAAAATAGATTCGACAAAGCAAGTTGTACTAGGTGAATCATTTATGATAGACAAATATTATTGAAATCATGAAGGCAAATAAAATCGATAAAGACTTTTAGAGATTTATTTAATTATGAAAAGATACTTCATCCGTCTGTCTCTAAGGGTCATATTTATTTTTTACGTTATTATACTTAATATAAAAAATATTCTTATATTTGTATAATTTTTTGTACAAATATCTTTCTATTAGTATTATAGATATTTTTGTAACTTTGTCTTAATTTGTACTATTTTGATATAATAATTAATACTCAGATATCAACATACAAACAGTAAATGAGACTCCTATAACCGGACGGAAGCAGTGATATAATATTGAAACGAAAAAGACATTTTATACAACTCATGGCTGGTCCCATAACCCAATCAAATTAATTAAATATTTAGAAAATTCTAAGTTTAAATAATTAAGGTGAGTCTCACAAACACACCAATTCATGTTATTCCCCTGCCGACACGACAAGAGGTTTATATATTGGTGCATTGTATCTCCTCTATGAACCATAATAATTAACAATAATAAAAAGAACAACAACAACAATAATAATAATGAAATTCTTAAATTGATTAATCAAAAGAAAATTGTGTGAATGATACTCCTTCGGTCTCAAACAAGGTGCAATATTTGTTTTTGGCACGGATTTTTAGATGAGTAGCATTAAGTAGAATAATTTAGAAATTAGGTGATGTGATGGAGAGAGAAATATATATTTTCTTTTTTTATTTGTATGATGTAAGGGGATAATGTGTGGGGTAAAAATTAAATATAATTAATTATTTTTTATTTTAAAAATATTACAGGATGTTTGGGACATACAAAAAAGAAATATTGTAGAGTATTTGAGATAAAGGACTATTATCTAATTGAGCAACCAACTAATAAAAGGTTCTATTTTTATTTTGAAATTTTAAAATTTATTTACTATGTAATCTATACTTTTAGTAAACAATAAAAATATGAATTACTCAACCTCTCATCAAACTGTTATTTGAATATATATATATATATATATATATTAATAAATAAATCATACACTTCCAAAAAGTTCAAATTTCTCCGACAGGTAAGAAGTCAAAATCAATCAAAATACTTTATCTGTCCTATTGAAAAAGGGTGATATTTATTTTTTTTACGCATATTTTTTAATATTAGCATTATATTAAATTGTAGTAAAAAAAATAAAAATGTTCATATTAGTAAGATGTAATATAAAAATAATGGCATTTGTGTAATATATTGTAAGTTTAAAAAGTATTTATTATGTTAGATAAGTAGTACAATTACTAAATTAAGAAATAGTAAATCTTGTTCTGGAACAAATAAAAATAAAAAATAATAACTTTTAACGGGACGAAGAGAGTATTATTTTATTTAACAACGGTATTGAACATGAGCTAATAAAGCTATAATTTATTTGTGAATATAACGAGCTAAAATTTATACTTATGTTTAACTCATTATTTAGAAAACGATCTTTTAACGAGCATAAAAGAATTGAACTGAATTGACCTCTCGACCAACTTGGTTGTTTAAGTGTATTAGTCAAGATGATGACTTACCTCACTCTTTCTTTTTTTTTTTTTTATTATTTTTTTTTTATGGCTAATTAGTCAAACAACTAATTTTATTATCAAATTTATAATCGTACCTAATTTTTATACTCCCTTCGTCTTAAATACCGTACAATATTTGTGTTTGACACAGGAATTTAGGTGGAGAGTATTGAATAACAAACCAGCATGCAGGAAAACATTTTGGTTTCTTTTATTGCCTAGTCAATGCAGTTATATTTTCTATTATTAGTCCTATTATGTAGGAAGCAGTTGTTTCATATTTTCTTTTGCGTGTATTAAGGAACCAGTTGTAAGTCTCAGCCTATATA